TAGGGGTATATATTGGGGTTGTATAGGGATAATGGAAAAGAAAATGGATTCCTCATGTTCTGGGTGGTTGTCAAAATGATGGTCCCTTTTGGGATCCCTATCATAATACGGCACCTAATATTTAGGGTACCCAAAAAGGGACCATAACTTTGACAACCACCCCTATTCCTCACATGCATCCTAGAATAACTCTTCGAGGAGCCATCCTAAGGGTTTAGGGCTTAGGGTCTACTCATCACTGTGAAGCCCGCATTCAAGGCAAACGACTTTCGATGGCTTCGATGATCCGATATGAAATCCCACCAACACGGCTTTTTAAGAATCCCAACGCTACCCTTCTCCAAGCAGAGCTGGAATCTAATGAAGCCCCCTATGCGCAATGAAAATGTAGGTGCAACATACCGTCAACCAAGACCCTGAAGCCCTGAAGTCTAAAATCTAAATCCCCTCTCCCTTAGAATTACCCCCAATATGTACCCAACATACCCTATAATCCCTATAGTTTCCACTTTCTTTTCCATTGTAACCCCCTATGCAACCCAAATATTACCCTAGTAAGCTGCAAGCCATAAAGGCCGCTTCCAAGCGCTTGTGGACTCAACCTCTCTTGCGTGGAAGCCCGGTCCACCTGAATTAGGGCTTCGCGCTCCAGGCCTAGGGCTTCCCTGTTAGGGGTTGAAGGTTAGGGTTTAGGGTTTAAGGTTTATAGGGTTTAGGGTTTAGGGTTCAGGGTTTAAGGTTTAGGGTTTAGGGTTTTAAGGTTTATAGGGTTTAGGGTTTAGGGTTTAGGAAAGTTCAAGGTTTTTGCTTAACCTTACTCCCAGGATTGGCGGTGTACGCCAACTCTGTGATCGTGAAGTCTTAGCTATTCTTGCACCCAGCTTGAGGTGTATTTTGGCCTGTAGAAGATAATGGTCGCTGGGCAAGCCCGTATTCAAATACGAAGTAATGCCACCTAGTATTACCCCAATATGTGACAATGCGCGATTAGAGTCCGCTCTGGTGTTTGCATGCAAAAGCCCTTTGCCATATACATATGGGCCAACAATATCTTTTACCTCTTTACCTCTGCCCTGAATCCTGTATACCCTGAATCCTGACAGGTTTACCTAAACCCTAAACCCTAAACCCTAAACCTTAAACCCTAAACCCTAAACCCTAAGGGTTTAGGGTTTAGGCTTAGGATTCAGCGTCTGCAGTCTAAAGCTGAGGTGAACTTCTACAGCAAAAAGCGGAATGTAATCGCCATCCATGCGGTAGGGTTTAGGGTTTAGGGTTTAGGGTTTAGGGTTCAGGGTTTAGGGTGGGAAAATGCTCACCTGTGCCGCAAGCGCCCGCAGCAAATCTGCCAGGCCGGGGGTATCATCACGCCTGGGCTTTTGCTGAAATCTAGACTGGGCAAGTTAAGCCAGATCCCTGATTGATTAACCCCCTCCCCTTAATGGGGATTATAATCGGGATCTTAATATTAAGGCCCTTAAGAGGGGGGGTGTATTAATCAGAGGTCTACATTAAGGTTTGGGGGGTTTGGGGAATTTACAGGGTTTGTGGGGGCTAGGAGGTTCAGGGATCCAGGTGTTGAAGGCTTGGGGTTCAGGGTTGGGGTTCTACAGTGGCCTCAAGTGTTCACAGACATGTACAATGAGACTCAAGCAAAACAACCTCCCTAAATGCCTAAGCCCCACACCCGAATTGATACAGAAGCCATGTGCTTTCACTACCAACCACCAGTACATATGTTCCTCAAGGAGGTACCCTTTTTGGGAGGTCCCCATA